CAACTAAAAAGCGGCAAACACAGAACAAAACCTACGTACATAGGCAAATCCACGTTTTAAAATCAAAGAAGAGGCTTGTAGAGCCGCATTTTGCAACTGCATCACATTTAGCAATCAAAGAAAATCGTCTTCCCCAGGTGCAGCCTGACCAAATTCAGCGTAACCGGCTGAGGCCACCCTGTCCCCATTCCTACTTTAATTTTATTTGATAATTCGAGGAATCCATTTAACCATCTACTTGGTGTTCGAGGTAAAGCGAAGACGTGCTGTAGATGCGACATACAGATACAGGAAGAATAATGTTCCCCGACTGTTCTTCTCATTTCATTCTTTAACCATGGTTTTGAGAAAATGCGTGTTATTTCATATCGCTTTATCGATTTTTTTGCTAGTAGTAACGAGTTGTACAGGAAGTTTATATTAGTTTCTGCATGCGTCACAAACAGCTTAGTTGTCTGGAATCAGTAGCACGCGGCGATGCACGCCATGCTCTGTAGAAAGAGCAGAAGAGAAGATTAAATGTTTTAACTGGTTGTATGGCATAGGATTTGAATTTAAGAAGATACGTTGGGGTATACGCATAAAGAACCCTTTTTTATCAATGAAATATTCTAAGTACTTAAATAGGATTCAAGTTCGAAAACTATCCTAATTGGATTTTTTTTAAATTTTATTTTTATTTTTATTTATTTATTTATTTATTTATTTATTTCGGCCCGTGATTTACTGATAGAGAAGTATTCTGGTCAAATGTATATAAGAAATATTTTCGGTTATCTATTACAAGAAGTTATAACTTCTTGTCTATTACATGTTGCATTATTTATTCTTTGTTTGTTTTTAAACGTGTTGTAACCCTGTTTTAAACTTAAACCCAGAGAGGAAAGTAGGTCAACAAGCTTGAAGTAAATCACCAATATACTGACCTATGTGGTCTAAGAGATGATAACAGGAAAGTATTAAAGTTGTATGCAATATTTGTATAAGTGACCAAGAAACATACTTGTGGCTGATCTATAATATCTGGGTGGGTGGGTGGTTGGGACACTATGCGTGTGTCAACTGTACATTAATTTTTTTACATTCATGCCAGAAAAAAACACAATCTACCAACTGCCAAGATGGAAAGTTTTGTGTTTCAATAAAATGCGCTTTTTTTGTACCACCAGTGTGAAAGATTTCACAAGGTACATTGTATTGTTGCAACCTTATCAATTTTTTTATTAAATGTGAAATATTTCCCAAATCAAAAACAAGAGGAATGTTACTACAGAAGGCTGATTGGATGTCTTGAGTAGATTTCAAATTTGTCTTGGGTTTGACATTTTTTCTATTATTCAAAGAGAGATGGGATGAAAATTTTAATTTTCTCTTTAAAAATTTGTTTTTGTTGATTTTCAGAAACTTCATAGAACCACTAACAATGTGAGGACAATCGGTTCTTGACCACTGGAGTAGCACATATTACTTGTAAATGCTGAAATTTAAAAAAAATTGAAATTTGGCACCATAAAAGGCAGTATTGCTGCTCTGATTTTTTAGTTTTTTCTTGTCCTTAGATCTACCTTCGATCTAAAGGAAGTGAAGATATGTTGAAATTTTTAGTTGGATTTTTTGAGGTGTTACCTATCTATTAGGATGAAGCTTTATATATGCGTGGTCTATAGGTAATTTCCTTATGAAATTCTTGGACTAATATAATATGTTCTGTCAGGAAAAAAATGCACAAAGCGTTGTACCATGTTTTGTCAAAGAAACAAGTATTGAGCATAATTAAAATTTGATGTTGAATTTGCAGTTAAGCATAATGTACTTTTGCATTAGAATTGACAGTAGCCTATTTTGTGCATTGTTATTTTCTGCTTTTTGTCTGTACGTTTGACAGCTTTGCTGGGACAAAAGTCGGGGATCATGTTATCCCGCCCGTCCGTGTGTCTGCGTGTAATTTCTTCTCCTAGACTATTGCAGGTAGGAAGTTGAAACTCTGGTAATTGGTAGACCCATCTTTAGGGATGTTTATGAGCACATTTGAATTTTAGTGCAACAGGGGGCTGGGCTGCCCCTGGGGGTAGTTGATTCAAAATTCTTATGACATTGTAATTTCTGCTATCTCCTCTTAGACCGTTAGAGATAGGGAATTGAAACTATGGAAATTGGAAGATCCATCATCAGGGATGTGCATGGGCATTTTGGAATTTTAGTGCCACAGGGGGTTGGGCTGTCCCCGGGGGGTAGTTGATTTTAAATTCTTATAACATCTCAAAATTTTCATTATCTCCTCTTAGACCATTACACATAGGAAACTGAAACTTGGTGAGTATTGGTAATCCAGTTGCATTTGTAACATGGTGCTAGACTTTTACAACTTTTCTTCATGCAAGTTGGTTTTATTTTACTGACTTTGATATCAGTTTATTGTCCTTTAATAAAGCTGTAAAAAAGCAAGTGGCTTTTATGTGTTCTAGATGGATGATTAAGATAGGACTTGTAAAGGTAACGTGCATTGTTTACCTCAGTTTCATAAAAGTATGCAAGACGGAGTGTCAGCGGTTTAATAAAATAAATTGAATTTCACAAATAACATGGAACATGCAATAATCAACATTTCCCTTAACTCATTCAAATGCAGTGTTTTATACAACTTGGGATAACCATAATGAAATGCTTGTTAAAGAAATGACTAGACGGGAAATGGTTTTACACAGCTTCACGAGGATTTAGACCCCTCGGGTAAGAGATTTGAATGAGTATAAACTTTTATCAGAAGCCAGAGAAGTCATCTTACAGGTAGACAATGCAGCTCAGTTTGACAGCTAAGCACGCTCTGTTCTCCAGTGGCTCGATTGTCGTCATCGGACCACGTGACCACGTAGCTCATTAACTCCCAGGCCGAGCAAATAGGACGTTTTTTAAAGCCGAAAATTTACAAAATGAGCTTTTAATTTGTGTATTTGGATAAAGATATCGTTAGTTGGGCATGTTTTCTGAAGAATATGTTCCGTTGAAGCCATTCTGACGGTATGAAGCAAATCCTTTAAGATAGGGGATGGGTTGACAGCTGTAAGCTCAGTTATGTAGAGAATTTAGCCATATTTGGCAAGTAATATCTTTAGTTGCTATACTTATTGCGCGTAGAGCATCACAATCATTGCTGTTGGGGTGTGCTGTAAGATAGGATGTAGACAAAAACACAATCTTGGCTGAGTGAGGGTAGAGAAAACACAATCTTGTTTGTTTGGTTGTGTTCTAAGAAGGAATTTAGATAAAAGCACAATCAAAACTACTTGGTGGTGCTCTGTGCAACCACACAACTGTGATTGTGTTGCACTGGGGTGGTTTAATTTTAAAGTGCACATCCAGACACAATTGGTGTCTTTTCATGTAACTCACAACTAACTACTTGTGCAGGTTTAGTGGTTTATTCTTATAGATGTGGTGAGTATTGGTAATCCAGTTGCATTTGTAACATTGCGCTAGACTTTTAAAACTTTTCTTCGTGTAAGTTGGTTTTATTTTACTGACTTTGATATCAGTTTATTGTCCTTTTACTGTTTTAGACATAAAGCTATAAAAAAAGCAAGTGGTTTTTAATTGTTCTAGCTCTTTTAAAACAAATGCTGAACTCTGAGAGTGTGTGTAAACTGTACATGAAGAGTTCCTCCTCCCTGGTCAGTGCTCTGCAGAAGATCTTGATTAGTAACAAGGATATACTGCAGGTGGCAGCAGTGCAGTGTGTCATTACCATTAACAACAAGAGACACCACACAGCAGTTTTCTCAACTCCTTCTTGAAGCTGAGGTAGCAGGTATAAAAACATTTCATTGTGCTAAAATTTTCCTTATATTATGCATTTTGTTTGTGAATTTCTACTCTACAAATTGTTTGCCTCTGTATACCAAATGCACAAATTGATCTGACACGACAAAATTGCCATTGAAATTCTGGCTTGAAATAATTCATCTGCATGTTTCATTGCAACTTGCAATAAAAGGATGTTACTTTACTAATCACAATATATGACATTAAATAATTGTTTTAAATTCCAAATGCTGTTCTTCATCCCATTACAGAATATTTATTTGAGGCTCTTGCAACTACCAATGAACTTCTGATTAGCTCCATATTTTGCTGTATGTTGCTGTTGTCAGAAGTTGAAGTATTCTTCAAGAAGAACCATGTGATATACGGTAAATAATCTTGTATGCCACAGGTGCTAGTGGTAGTTTAGTTCAGATGAATAATTAAGAAAGTATTAAATAAATTGTGTTCTTAGATAAGTTGTGGTCAGGACTTATTGTTTTTGACTTAAGCGAAGTTTTTGACTTACACGAAGCAGGTACCGGTAGGAGCACTGTGATTTGTATCAGAATTCACTTTACTGAAATCATCTGCATGTTATTGTAATTTTATGGTGGTGGTGCTGATATAGTCAAAGAATGCAAGTTTACCCCCATCTTATCCTCATATATGAGTTCTGCACACTTAAGTCTTGTTACTTGGTTATTATAAGGTTCCATATTTTCCAGGCACCCTGTCAATGTGAGATTGTTGACCAGTGCTGCTCTGGTCACCAAGTTTCTGTCAGTGATAACAGAAGCAGTCAAGCATCATAACCACAGCATCATGGAAAGTGGTGCTCTGGCCTTGACATATCTAATGAGGTAATTGAGACCTTGTTACACACACACACACACACACACACATTCTATATCTGTGATTTTAAATTCCATTTTAAGTAGAAAATAAAATGTGTAAAGTTTAAGTGATAAAACTACAGTCTTTTAATCCAAATATGGTTTTAAATCAAGGAAACTATCCTCATGTAGTCATATTAAAAAATCACATGTAAAGTCTCTTACTGCCAACATAAGGCACCATGGAGTTGATTGATGAAATGACTTTCCAGGAGAGAGGTTCTTCCTTCCCCAGTATCCTATTATGCTCTCATTGATCCACTCCAGCTGTTGATGAGTAAGTAAGTATGTAGAGTTGGAGAAACTTTTCTGTAAGCGTGGAGTCCAGGGTTCGTCCATGGTGGGAAAAGATATCAGTGGTAAATCCAAGATGGCAGAAGTTCAGTCCAAGTTGACCAGAGCTGAGAGAAGGATAGAGGGACTTGTGTGCTCTCTGGAAGCAGCTTTTATGTATGTTGGAAATTTTTTTTTTTTCTTTATTACTTTTAGTTATATTATATTTGTTTTGTGGAATTTGAGTGACAGGATAGCGATAATTTTGAAATGGGATTCCAATTGTGCAATTTGCATTAATTTAAATCAATATTCTTTGTTTCAGGAATGTAGGACCTCACTTTGGGTAGCATGTTCATATTGTTTTTAAAAAATTGAATGTTCCATGGACTAATAACCCTTAGTAACTTACAAATTATTTTTGTTTTTCCAGCCTTGCTGTACAGTGCAAGTCAGATCCAGCAGCCAACATGGAGTCTTTCTTGGCTCCTGGTACCCCAGTGGCTAGGTCAAGACTGGACAACTTTGTTCACTGCCTGCTGCAAGCACTAGATGAGTGCTGTGTCCCATTGGTTCTGGTACAAATTAATCCCTTTCTCTGGGATGTTCAATTTATTTTTCAAATTTGAAATCAAGATAAAAATCAATCACTGAAGTTTTTTTTAAAGATTTTAAAAAGATATAACTCATTTAATATTTCCATGAAACTCAATTGTGACAAAAGCCTTCATTTAAAAAGTTCCATGACATTAAAAAATATATTTTGTAGACTCACTATCAGCAGATCTCTAACAACCAGGTGTACATGTATACTAGTTTGTTTACATCATTGGTGTCAGTTGGTCAGCTGTGTCCACAAGAACTTGTCCTCAGGTTTTACAACAAGCTGACCTCTACTGGGGTGATCAGGATAGCCCTGCACATCAAGGCCAAGACTGAGTGAGTTATGTTTTGACCTCCCACACCTGTATGGTGTATACACCCTGGGTTTAGGGGTCTAGTTGCTTAAGTCAGGTTCTCTGGCTTAGAGCTTAATTACCAAGGTTACATGGTCACATGGGCATATGTTACCCTATCAGGAGCAGTGCAACAATACTCTCATGGAAATTCTAGTCAACTAAGCCAAGGAGCTGACTTAAGTTTTTTTTTTTTTTTTTTTGTGAAACTGGAGCCTGTGTTTTGTGTTCTAGTGGGTGTAGTTACCAGCTTAACCTTAAGCTTGTCAGATCAAACAGACTGCATTATTATTATGCTGGTTAGAAAAGAAATCCATCATCATTCCTCTGTAACTAATGGTGTGCATAAACAGAAAAGCTTTTTTCCGTACTTTGGTTCATAGAATGATTCATTTTTTAAAATTAAAATGGTTATGTACATGTCTTTGTTATTATTTGTGACTAAGTTAAAAGTTAAGCTTTTATAGTAATATGTTTGCATTGTGAAGTCACCGTGACAGGTTTTTACATATTTAACAATTTTTTCTGCTAAAAATAATGAAATATTATGTTAATCAGTTACATTTTGATATCTGATAGATCAACGTCTGTTAAACAAGTGATCGACAAATTCCTGTTGGAATTGTGCCAGTTTGGTTCCAGTGACCAAGATGAAGATTTCAAAAGAGAGTTGCAGCTAGGATTAACATTTCTGCAAGGTTGAGTTTTGTCTTTATCAAGTTCTAAACATATGAGTAAAGGTAATGATGATTAATAACTTTTCTCAAAGTCATCAGCTTTTATTTTTATCTTAGATGGACTGCAGCATTAATGCTATGTTGACTTTTAAAGTGCCTGTATTTCTTATTGGAAATTTCTTTTAATTTCAATTTTGATGCAATATTTAAAACTAAAATAACATAATTTTAGGCAGTCTGGTGCATGTTTTGAGTGTATTAGACCAGCATGCAGATGGCACTAGTGTAGAGGCAGATCAAGTTCATGCTGCTCAGCAACATGTGTTATTATACCTCCTCTACCTCAGCTATGAACATGGGGACAGGTCTGTGTTCTCTTTTATTTATTTATTTATTTATTTATTTATTTACTGAAGGATGTGATTCTCAAGTTTTTATTTTACCTTAGTGATATCGCATCCTTGCATGTAATTATTTATGAATTTCAAATTAATTGATTTCTAGGATGTTGAATCTGATTCAGCTTTATGTCAGTTATATTTGTTTTGTAAGGTCTACTTGCAAAATTTCACCCTTTTTACTAACTACCACTTTGTTAATTAAAGGTATATTCCCAACACATACCTCAGCAACCTTTTCCCATGAATACCTATAATATACCTGTACTTACACTCTTGATTTCTTGGTGAGTTACTAATGTCCAGTATGAAAGTGTTTTTTTTTTTTTAAATTGATTCCAGCTGTGTTTTCAGCTCTTTTTATTTATTATTATTTTTTTTTTGTATCTATCTTCTGTAAAACCTTAAAACCAATCTTCCAGGTGTGTTTCCCCCAGTGTGCTGTTTGACACTCTGTGTGCTTATCTCTGTCTCCACCCAGATGTGCACCTCCTTCCCAACACTGCTCTTAAAAGCTTGGTCTTCCTTATGGCTGTTAGTATCATTGATGCATTTTAAATGGGGGCTTGTCACCCTGAGTTTCAAAGATTAATAGAAAAACTTGTCCATGCCACTATACAGTAATTGAGAGGTACAGTATCTGAAGGGTTGATGTACCTTTAAAGTGTAGCACTCTGAAGATTAAGATGAGTGTGAGAAAAATTTGTAGACTTTTTTGTTCAAATTTAGCCATAATTTTTACTACTACCTGAGAGAGGCGTTATATATTTAGTCATAAGGACAAGTTTCAATATTTATACCAATAATATACTCCTTCCTAGATGTGATATCATGTGCATGTAACTATGCACGTGTGTGTGTGTGTGTGTGTGTGTGTGTGTGTGGGTTTGAGTTTTAGTAATAAATTTTTGTTTTTCCTCTTATTTAAACTTTCTACTTTGTTCATACCCCTTAGGCATGCACTGGTTCCACACAGACCCATGCGAAAAAGGAACAACAACAAGGTAGTACATTAAAGAGTTTTATATTAATTCATATTTATTTATTTATTTATTTATTTATTTATTTATTTATTTATTTTCACGAACAAAAGAAAATGTTTATTGTAAGGTTAAGACTCTCTCTAGCTCTTTAACAGCTGAGTGAATGATTTTTGTGGTCATTTTATAATTCACAAACTAAAATTGAATACAAAGAAAGCCAAGGGGAGTACAACAGATTTAATGCTACATTACATTCCTCTTCTCTCCTGACATTGGAGAACATTAGGTATGATTGAAATTTTCATCTACCCTTTTACAACTTTTTGACCCAAAAGAATATGTTAAAAAAAATTATACATAGGTTTGCGACTGCTGTCAGTGGGTCTGTCCAAATGTTCAAGTACATCCTCGTGGCTTCTGCGCCATCCCAAGGTATTCCAGTGGTGTTTTCTCAATCCAAAGATCTCCAATATGCAGGGAAAACATGTGGTAAGTTTAATCTGTTATGGGACCTTTTTCAGTTTTGGTAAGCATGATTTTGCTGATGAATTATCCTTGTAAATGTAACACAAATGAAATGTGTTTTGAAGCTTTGATGTTCTGAAGTTTGCCTCAGCTTTTTGTCTCACCCAAAACCTTTGCCACTGGGGTGGGAATCAGACAGTTTTAACCTTTTTAAAACTTAATACTTCAACACAGATGTATCTCCATCTAAATATGAATGAGATATCAAGTAATCTTATTTTAAAATGTCAGAAATTATTTGATAGAATTTATTATTTTCAAAGATGGAGATGTGGATTGACTATGGCATGGTGAAAAAAGATAAATTTACATAAAAGGAAACAGTAGTGGTATCTTACTCTAGTGGTATTTAATCTCCACAGTTGAAGCAGTGGCTGAGCATCATTCCTGCCCAGATGTTTCTCTCCCCATTGGACATGAGTCAAGAACCAGGTTGGGCAGAACTGTTTACACTGGTGAAAGAAAATACAAAATGTTTACAAGCTGCATTGGTAAGTTTCTTTTCTTTTTTTTTTCTTTACATTTTATCCCATTTTGACTTAAAGATGATCTATTCACTGTATTAATTTGAAAGTCTTATGTATAGAAAATGGATTAAACTGTCAAACATTTGTTGCAATACAAAAATAACATGTATTATCAGATAGCTTGAAATAGATTGGTTCTTTTCTATTTGGTGGTTTAATTTTGTCAGTGCCTCATTTCTCAATTTCTATATGTTCAATATTTGTCATAGTTCATTTATTTCTAAGGACATCGTGACTGATGGGGATGAGGAAAGTGTTTCCAAAGTAACCCTTCTGTTGGGAAGAGTATTTGAAAAGGTAGGACAAATCGTATTCCATACTGTGCACTTGACACCCAGTATATTGAAATCTTTGTTGATTGTGAATATATCTCTCTCTAGAATAAAGCTTCTTATATGAAATGTTGCTTAACAACTTAGTGTTTCTCTTTTTGATTATTTTTAGGATGGCAAACAATCACCAAATCCCAAAACTGTCAGCACATTGAAACAAATGTTGTCTGATGTAGTGCACAGAATTTTCCTTGCTAAGTCTGTAAAGAAAGCAGGTGAGTCCAGATGTATTTTCTATTATTTTCCTTCCTGTCCTATCTGTTCTCAACTGTTGCTCTAAACAATCTTCAGTATACTGAGTATTACTTCTGACAAGGACAGATAATTTCTGTGTTTAACCTCATATTTTACTGGTTTATGGTGATAAAATGATTATAGTGATTGCAATTAGAATTCACAGCAATTTCAAAGTTCAAAGTTCAACTTTTAATGAAAGGACAATTAAATTATTTTAAATATGATATTTAGTGCAATTAAAAGTTGGATATTATTAGCATATGTAAATGAAAATTTGGCATTTTTTTCTAGGAAATGCTTTACTTGAGAACTACTTAAATAGACTTTAAACCCCCCCCCAATCCAAGTAACTTCAATAGAGATTTGAGGCCCCATTCCCACAGATTGAACTGCATTTTTTAATTATTTTGCATTGTTATTTGACGTGAGATAATCTGCTATGTTTCAGAACACAACCTCACAGCAATGTTGGAAATTCTGCTGATTATGCAGGATCAGTTCGTCACTGGCATTAATGCAACAGATCTCAAGTTGGTGAACCAAGGTACATAAGTTTAATATTGCAACTATTCATATGGAGTGCTTTAACAAAATATGTTTTCTGTGAGCAATTCCCGGTGTGAATTTGCAGAATATTTAACAGTTCATCTTCAAGAATTGATAAGATAGTGGTTTTTCTGTTTTCTTAGTCTGCAGTCTACTAGGGAATGACAATGAAAAGATTCCAAAACAGTTGGTTTTTATGTTTGAAGAATTCCTTTCCAATTTATTACTACAAGCAGGGAAAAGTCAGGACAACAGAGGTATTTTATGAGAAATTTGTAGGATGTAAGAGCCTGCTAGAGATAATATTTATGTTTTGTCAAACTAGTAATACAAAATTGATGCATATTGTTTTTAAAATACCAGTGCAACAATAAAATATGTTTTTAATTATCTCTTTCTTTCTCATATTTTATATAAACAGCACTACTCAATTCATCAAAAATCTGTAAACTACTACACTAAAAACAAAGTTTCACTAACCTAAAGAAGATATTTTTATTGCATACTGTATTTTTTGCTGTTTCAGTTGCCACCATTATATTGACAGACAAAAGTTTCCTTTGTATTCTCCAACACCTTATTTTGTCAAATGAGGACATAGTCTCCACCAAAGCACTGCAGCTACTGGCATTACTTGTACTCCAGCAGGCGGATTTTAGTATTCCACATCTTGTTGTATGTTTAAGTATCTCATACATGGTTAAGTGTTGTTGTTCTCTTCACCATACTAATAACTATGGCCATTTGATTTGTTGCAGCTATTGGACAATTAAAATGTGTTTGAAAATTTAATTTGTGTCTGTCTGGGTTCTTATGTGCTTAGAACGTAGCTTAATTAGAACTATATAAATCAGAAGCTGAAGCATTGCTCTCCATCGAAGGATAAAAGCAGATTGAATAATAATAACAGCACTATGCCATTTTGCAATACTTAGACAGGCAGACCAAGCAGGTGTGTCTTTACATGTTATATTTTTAATTTTTTTTTTCAAACTGATACCATGTCTGCCACAGGTTCTTGTAAATCTGGATGATTGTCCATTACTCAGAATATATTTTGCTATGATTATTTAAAGGTTTTTTTAGACTGACATTGCTCTACTTTACATTTTTAGAAAAATCAGGTTCAACTGCAATTGGCATGGCTTCTAGAAAGAACTAAGTCCAAAGTATATCTTCAGCAGATCAGTGTTCTACAGTTCTGGGCAGTCTACTTCTCCACTCAGTTAACTGCATCGTGTGCTATAGTGGAGATGCTGGATGACACAGATCACACAGATCTTGTAGGTCAAGACAATACACAATTGAACATAAAGACCCAGTATTTGAGGAAGTTACTTATTTACATTCAGCAGGCTGTTTTTAAGGTAAATGTTATCATTTAATGCCACAGGTATAGATAATATTTCATGCTGCTGCATTTCTTTGCATACGTACATATTTTTTTTAATCTAGGGCTTTTTGTTTTAGCCTTCAATGAGACTGGATTTGCATTTTGCTTTAAATTTCCAAAACAGGTGGAAAATGGCCAATAATTATTTGTTTTTCTAGTAAGTAAATTCAGTTTTGCAAAAAAGAAAATTAGACATTTGATTTTATATTTGGTCCTTGATGGTATATTAATTCCTTCAAATTTATTTCAGGAAAATAGGCATTTGCAGTGTGTTGCTGTTATTTGTCTTCACAACTTGCTGACACGTTACTTGAAGCCACATGTATTGAAAACAGGTAATATTTTCAGCTAATTCTATTTTAACAGCCCTGTATTGCAGTATCCAATTGCAAGCCTACATTTTTTAAACATGTCAGTTATCTGTAAATGGTATTTGTCTTCCCCAGCTTGCTATTATAATAAACAATTTGAGCAACATAACATCTTTGATTTTTTTACATTTTCGAAAATTGTTGAAATGTTTTCTCATGCAGGCCACAGTCTGGTAGAGCAGCCATGGAATAGATTCATGCTGACCACACTGCTAGAAACCTTTGAAGCAAGAAAGACTCCAACCTGTGTGTTAGCAATTGTTAACTTGGTGAGTATATTAAGTATATAAAAGATGTCAGTTTGGTTGGTCAAGCATATCTTTGTAAAATTTCTTTGGGGAAAAAAGGAAAGAAAACACACTGTGATTTTAATATATAAAGTAACCTAGTTACATGTGTACACAGTATATACATCTACAAACACAAATAGGTTTTCTGTATTTCCATTTGTCAAGCAAAATAAGATTACTTTTAATTTTCATATTTTTGCACTTTTATTGAATTTGTTGTTCAATTCTATAACTGTTAAGTAAGATAATGTGTACACAGAATATACATCTCTATACACAAATAGGTTTTCTATATTTCTATTTGTCAGACAAAATAAAGTTATTTTTAATTTTCATATTTTTGCACTTTTATTGAATTTGCTGTTCAAATTCTATAAGTGTTAAGTAAGGGCACATTCAGAACAAGTTGATCTGTGGACTAACTGATCCGTGGATCAAAAATGGCGACACCTTCTTGAAAGCCTGCCAAGATTTAATTGCTCTGCCCCTGCTGGGAATGTGCGTGTTGGAGGCAGGAATCCATTGTCAAATGTGCGCCGTATTTGATGTGAGGACTAGTTAGTCCATGGATCAATTTAGATGTGAATGCTCTCTCATTTGCAGCTGGTCAGCCGTGTTGGTGGAGTGTTAGTCAAAGCAAAACAGCTTGAAAACATAGTGACAGCATTTTTGAAAGGAGACTTGAAGCAGGACAGTTGGTGGAACGATGTTGTCATTTTTCTTCAGTATGTAAGTATTGCTTCTGTTTACGCTTAAGGAGATTTCTTATAAGTCTGGTAATAAGCCCAGACCACCAGTGCAATGGAGTTCCATGCTGATATCACCCACCTCACCACAGCCATTTTGGGAATGAAATCTGATGATGTATTTAATTTGTCATATTACTCAATGGAATTTTTTCCTATAAAAAATACTTTTAACTTCAAAGTTCAAGTGAATCATTGATCTGTTTGCTAAGAGATCAAATATTCAGTCTAGATTTTTTAAATAAACTACATGCACACTTATCAAGCATTTGCTGACTATGTATACCTTAGACTTCAGTCAGTGATGTGCTTGAATAGTAGCATATTATATTCAAACTTGTATAATATATATTTTTCAGTCACATGTATCTGTCGTTTATTAGTTTTATTTTAGGTGTGTCATAATCATATATTAGATTCTAACCTTGAGAAGAAAGTTATCAACAAGCTTGAAGAGAATCACCAATATACTGACCAATGTAGACAAAGTGATGATACCAAGAAAATATCAAAGATGTATGGAATATTTGACAGATCTATAAATGCCTAATTTTGTTTGATCTGGAAGAGGGACTGGGGCCAGTCAGTTTTTATGGAGATATACTATTTTATGTTTATACCAAGAAAAACTACAAACTACCAAGGTGGAAAACTGGGCATGATGTTATAATATGTTGTTATATTCATTTTGATAATGTGCATCACATCAATAATTCCAATGTCTTACTAAATATATACATATGTAATCTGAAATGGATTCATAATCAACTAAAATAACTTGCTGTTATAGGGAAGAATAACACATAGACTAGTTGTTAACACAGTTATTGTACCTTATAGATATGACTGAATTTGAAAGAAAAGCACTACATATTATGTCAAAGAAAACATTTACTTGTACTTTCATGGTGAACAGTGTGAATGTTGTCAACTGGTAATTAGATGTGACACCATTTAATCATGTTCATTTTCCTGTAACTTGATAACCTTTATGACTTTCATGGTGTATCCCTTAGTAAGGAACTATGCTGCCCCCCACCTCCCCCTCTACTATCCAAAATCAGAAAAAGTGAATCAATGAGACAAAACTGACTGATTTTCTATCCCTCTATCATAAATTTTACAGCAAAATTGTCTGCTATTTGTACCACCAGCGTTAGCGCTGGCGGTACAAATGGTTTCGGTCCCGTCCGGATCGTTCCGCCGGNTTATGCTGGTTAGAAAAGAAATCCATCATCATTCCTCTGTAACTAATGGTGTGCATAAACCGGAAAGGTTTTTTTCCGTACTTTGGTTCATAGAATGATTCATTTTTTAAAATTAAAATGGTTATGTACATGTCTTTGTTATTATTTGTGACTAAGTTAAAAGTTAAACATTTACAGTAATATGTTTGCATTTACTGATATCAGAGGCAGCTTAATTGTGAAGTCACCGTGACAGGTTTTTACATATTTAACAATTTTTTCTGCTAAAAATAATGAAATATTATGTTAATCAGTTACATTTTGATATCTGATAAATCAACATCTGTTAAACAAGTGATTGACAACTTCCTGTTGGAATTGTGCCAGTTTGGTTCCAGTGACCAAGATGATAATTTCAAAAGAGAGTTGCAGCTAGGATTAACATTTCTGCAAGGTTAAGTTTTGTCTTTATCAAGTTCTAAACATAAAGGTAATGATGTCTAATAACTTTTCTCAAAGTCATCAGCTTTTTTTTAATCTTAGATGGACTGCAGCATTAATGCTATGTTGACTTTTAAAGTGCCTGTATTTCTTATTGGAAATTTCTTTTAATTTCAATTTTGATGCAATATTTAAAACTAATAGCATAATTTCAGGCAGTCTGGTGGATGTTTTGAGTGAATTAAACCAGCATGCAGATGGCACTGGTGTAGAGGCAGATCATGTTCATGCTGCTCAGCAACATGTATTATTATACCTCCTCTACCTCAGCTATGAACATGGGGACAGGTCTGTGTTCTCTTTTATTTATTTATTTATTTATTTATTTATTTACTGAAGAATGTGATTCTCAAGTTTTTATTTTACCTTAGTGATATCACATCCTTGCATGTAATTATTGATGAATTTCAAATTAATTGATTTCTGGGATGTTGAATCTGATCCAGCTTCATGTCAGTTATATTTGTTTTATAAGATTCACTTGCAAAATTTCACCATTTTTACTAACTACCTGTTTGTTGATTAAAGGCACATTGCTAACACATAGCTCAGCAACCTTTTCCCATGAATATCTATAATATACCTGTACTTACACTCTTGATTTCTTGGGGAGTTATTAATTTCCAGTATGAAAGTGTTTTTTTTTTTAATTGATTCACGCTGCATTTTCAGCTCTATTTATTTTTATTTTTATTTATTTATTTATTTATTTTTTTTGTATCTATCTTCTGTAAAACCTTAAAACCAATCTTCCAGGTGTGTTTCCCCCAGTGTGCTGTTTGACGCTCTGTGTGGTTATCTCTGTCTCCACCCAGATGTGCACCTCCTTCCCAACACTGCTCTTAAAAGCATGGTCTTCCTAATGGCTGTTAGTATCATTGATGGAATTTATAATGAGGGCTTATCACCCTGAGTTTCAAAGATTAATAGAAACTTGTCCATGTCACTGTACAGTAATTAGGAGGTACAGCATTTGAAGATTGATGTATCTTTAAAGTGTAGCACTCTCAAGCTCGGGATGAGTGTGAGACAAACTTATGGATTTCTTTGTTCAAATTAAGCCATAATTTTTACTACCTGAGAGAGGCGTTATATATTTAGTCATAAGGAAAAGTTTCAATATTTATACGGATAATATACTCCTTCCTAGATGTGAATTCATGTGCATGTAACTATGCACATGCATGTGCATGTGTGTGTGTATAGGTTTGAGTTTTAGTAAGAATTTTTTTGTTTTTCCTCTTGTTAAAAGTTTCAACTTTGTTCATACCCCTTAGGTATGCACTGGTTCCACACAGACCCATACAAAAAAGGAACAACAACAAGGTAGTACATTAAATGGTTTTATATTAATTTATATTTATTCTATTTTATTTATTTTTTTATTTTTTTACAAAAAGAAGGAAAATGTTTATTGTAAGGTTAAGACTCTCTAGCTATTGAACAGCTGAGTGAATTATATTTGTGGTCATTTTATAATTCACAAACTAAAAATGAATATATATAAATAGAAAGCCAAGGGAAGTACAATAGATTTAATTCTACATTGCATTCCTCTTCTCTCCTGACATTGGAGAACATTAGGCTGAAACTTTTTTAAACAAAATAATATGTAAAAATTATCTTTATACATAGGTTTGCGACTGCTGTCAGTGGGTCTGTCCAAATGTTCAAGTACATCCTCGTGGCTTCTTGGCCATCCCAAGGTATTCCAGTGGTGTTTTCTCAATCCAAAGATCTCCAATATGCAGGGAAAACATGTAGTAAGTGTGATCTTTTATGGCACCTTTTTCAGTTTCAGTAGGCGTGGTTTTGCTGATGAATTATCCTTGTAAATGTAACACAAATGAAATGTGTTTTGAAGTTATTATATCTGGTTTATGTTCTAAAGCTTGCCTCAGCTTTTTGTCTCACCCAAAACTTTTGCCACTGAGGTCAGAGTCAGACAGTTTTAACCTTATAAAAACTTTATACTTCAACACAGATGTATCTCCATCTAAATATGAATGAGATATCAAGTAATCTTATTTTTAAATGTCAGAAATTATTTGAAAGAATTTATTATTTTCAAAGATGGAGATGTGGGTTGACTATGGCATGGTGAAAACAGATAAATTGACATAAAAGGAAACAGTAGTGGTATCTTCTCTCTAGTGGCATTTAATCTCCACAGTTGAAGCAGTGGCTGAGTATCATTCCTGCCCAGATGTCTCTCTCCCCATTGGACATGAGTCAAGAACCAGGTTGGGCAGAACTGTTTACACTGGTCAAAGAAAATACTAAATGTTTACAAGCTGCATTGGTAAGTTTCTTTTCTTTTTTTTCTTTACATTTTATCCCATTTTTACTTAAAGATGATCTATTCTCTGTATTAATTTGAAAGTTTTATGTAGAGTTTTATGTTAAACTGTCAAACATTTGTTGCAATACATGTATTATCAGATATCTTGAAGTAGATTGATTCTTTTCCATTTGATGGTTTAATGTTTTCAGTGCCTCATTTTTCAATTTCAATACGTTCAATATTTGTCATAGTGCATTTATTTCTAAAGGACATCCTGACTGATGGGGATGAGGAAAGTGTTTCCAAAGTAACCCTTCTGTTAGGAAGAGTATTTGAAAAGGTAGGACAAATCGTATTCTATACTGTGCACTTGACACCCAGTATATTGAAATCTTTGTTGATTGTGAATATATATATATATATATCTACAATAAAGTTTCTTATATGAAATAAGCTTAACAACTTAGTGTTTCTCTTTTTGTTTATTTTTAGGATGGCAAACAATCACCAAACCCCAAAACTGTCAGCAAATTGAAACAAATGTTGTCTGATGTAGTTCACAGAATTTTCCTTGCTAAGTCTGTAAAAAAAGCAAGTGAGTCCACATGTATTTTCTATTATTTTTCTTTTATGTCCTATCTGTTCTCAACTGTTGCTCTAAACAGTCTTCAGTATACTGAGTATTACTTCTGACAAGGGCAATTTCTGTGTTTCACCTCATATTTTACTGGTTTATGCTGATAAAAAGATTATGGTGATTGTAATTAAAATTCATTACATTCACAGCCATTCAAAGTTCAACTTTCAATAAAAGGGCAATTAAATTATTTCAAATATGATATTTAGTACATTAAAAGTTGGATATAATTAGCATATGTAAATAAAAATGTGGCACGTTTTTCTAGGAAATGCTTAACTTGAGAACTACTTAAATAGACTTTTAACCCCACCCCACCCAATCCAAGTGACTTCAGTAGAGATTTGAGGCCCCATTCCTACAGATTGAATTGCATTTTTAAAATTATTTTATGTTATTTGATGTGAGATAATCTATGTTTTAGAACACAACCTTACAGCAATGTTGGAAATTCTGCTGATTATGCAGGATCAGTTCGTCACTGGCATTAATGCAACAGACCTCAAGTTGGTGAACCAAGGTACATAAGTTCAATATTGCAATTATTCATGTGGAGTGCTTTAACACAATATGTTTTCTGTGAGCAATTCCCAATGTGAATTTGCAGAATATTTAACAGTTCATCTTCAGGAATTGATAATACATAGTGGTATTTCTGTTTTCTTAGTCTGCAGTCTACTAGGGAATGAGAACGAAAAGATTCCAAAACAGTTGGTTTTTATGTTTGAAGAATTCCTTTCCAATTTATTACTACAAGCAGGGAAAAGTCAGGACAACAGAGGTATTTTTTGAGAAATTTGTACAATGTAAGTGCCTGCTAAAGATAATATGTATATTTTGTCAAACTAGTAATACAAAATTGATGCATTGATGTTAAAAAAAATACCAGTGCAACAATAAGATATGTTTTTAATAATCTCTTTCTTTTCCATATTTTATATAAACAGCACTACTCAATTAATCAAAAATCTGTAAACTACTAAAAAACAAAGTTTCACTAACCTAAAGAAGATATTTTTATTGCATACTGTATTTTTTGCTGTTTCAGTTGCCACCATTATATTGACAGACAAAAGTTTCCTTTATATTCTCCAACACCTTGTTTTGTCAAATGAGGACATAGTCTCCACCAAAGCACTGCAGCTACTGGCATTACTTGTACTCCAGCAGGCAGATTTTAGTATTCCCCATCTTGCTGTATGTTTAAGTATTTCATACATGTATAAGTGTTGTTGTTCTCTTCACCATACTAATAATCATGGCCATTTGATTTGTTGCAGCTATTGGACAATTAAAATGTGTTTGAAAATTAAATTTGTGTCTGTCTGGGTTCTTATGTGCCTAGAACATAGCTTCATTGGAACTTTAGAAATTAGAAGCTGAAGCATTGTTCTCCATTGAAGGATAAAAGCGGATTGAATTATAATAATAATAGTACTATGCAATTTTGCAATACTTAGACAGGCAGACCAAGCATGTGTGTGTCTTTATATGTTATTATTTTTTTTTTTCAAACATTTTGCAAACTGATACCATGTCTGCTACAGGTTCTTGTAAGTCTGGATAATTGTCCATTACTCAGAATATATTTTACTCTGATTACTTTAATGTTTTTTTAAGACTCTACTTTACATTTTAGAAAAATCAGGTTCAACTGCAATTGGAATGGCTTCTAGAAAGAACTAAGTCCAAAGTATATCTCCAGCAGATCAGTGTTCTACAGTTCTGGGCAGTCTACTTCTCCACTCAGTTTACTTCATCGTGTGCTATAGTGGAGATACTGGATGACACAGATCACACAGATCTTGTGGGTCGAGACGATACACAATTAAACGTGAAGACCCAGTATTTGAGGAAGTTACTTATTTACATTCAGCAGGCTGTTTTTAAGGTAAATGTTATCATTTAATGCCACAGGTATAGATAACATTTCATGCTGCTGCATTTCTTTGCATACATATTTTTTTTAATCTAAGGCTTTTTGTTTTAGCCTTCAGTGAGACTGGATTTGCATTTTGCTTTTAATTTCCAAAACAAGTGGAAAAGTAGTAAGTAAATTCAGTTTTGCAAAAAATAAAATTAGACATTTGATTTTATCTTTGGTCCTTGATGGTATATTAATTCCTTCAAATTTATTTCAGGAAAATAGGCATTTGCAGTGCATTGCTGTTATTTGTCTTCACAACTTGCTGACACGATACTTGAAGCCACAGGTATTGAAAACAGGTAATATTTTCAGCTAATTCTATTTTAACAGCTCTGTATTGCAGTATCCAATTGAAAGCCTACGTTTTTTAAACATGTCAGTTATCTCTTATCTGTAAATGGTATTTGTCTTCCCCAGCTTGCTATTATAATAAACAATTTGAGCAACATAACATCTTTGATTTTTTTACATTTTCAAAAATTGTTGAAATGTTTTCTCATGCAGGCCACAGTCTGGTAGAACAGCCATGGAATAGATTCATGCTGACCACACTGCTAGAAACCTTTGAAGCAAGAAAGACTCCAACCTGTGTGTTAGCAATTGTTAACTTGGTGAGTATATTTTAATATAATATTATATGCTTAAAAGTATATAAAAGTATATAAAAGATGTCAGTTCGGTTGGTCAAGCATATCTTTGTAAAATTTCCTTGGGGGAAAAAAAGAAAAAAAAAACACTGTGACTTTAATATGTAAAGTAACCTAGTTACATGTGTACACAGTATATGCATCTACAAACACAAAAAGGTTTTCTATATTTCCATTTGCCAGGCAAAATAAGATTACTTTTAATTTTCATATTTTTGCACTTTTATTGAATTTGTTGTTCAATTCTTTAAGTGTTAAGTAAGGGCTCATTCAGAGCAAGTTGATCTGTGGACTAACTGATCCGTGGATCAAAAATGGCGTCGCCCTCTTGAAAGCCTGCCAAGATTTAATTGCTCTGCCCCTGCTGGGAATGTGCGTGTTGGAGGCAGGAATCCATTGTCAAGTGTGCACCGTATTTGATGTGAGGACTAGTTAGTCCACGGATCAATTTAGATGTGAATGCTCTCTCATTTGCAGCTGGTCAGCCGTGTTGGTGGAGAGTTAGTCAAAGTAAAACAGCTTGAAAACATAGTGACAGCATTTTTGAAAGGAGACTTGAAGCAGGACAGTTGGTGGAATGATGTTGTTGTTTTTCTTCACTATGTAAGTATTGTTTCTGTTTATGCTTAAGGAAATTTCTTTTAAGTCATGTAATAAGCCCAGGTCACCAGTGCAAAGGAATTCCATGCTGATTTTACCCACGGCCATTTTGAGAATGAAGTCTGATGATGATTTTAAGTCTATTTGAAGGAATTTTAACAATTTGTCATATTACTCATTGGAATTTTTTCCTATAAAGAATACTTTTAAACGTCAAAGTTCAAGTGAATCAGTGATCTGTTTGCTAAGAGATCAAATACTCGTATTCAGTCTAGATTTTAATAAACTACATGTACACTAATCAATCATTTGCTGACTATGTATACCTTAGACTTCAGTCAGTGACGTACTTGAATAGTAGCATATTATATTCAAACTTGTATAAGAGTGCATTCCCAGAGATTTAGATCAATCCGTCCAGATCGACCTAACTCCCTGGGGATTCATGCTAAATTACAGTCAGCCAAGGGAACACGGTAGTTAATTACCCCCTTACAGCTTTTAGTAGGTGGGACAGACATTTAAGACTCCCCACAGGGATAGATCGATCTAAAATCTGTGAGAATGGGGTCTAAGATGTATTTTTCAGTCACATGTATCTGTTGTTTATGTTTTGTTTTATTTTAGGTGTGTCATAATCATATATTAAATTCCAACCTGGAGAAGAAAGTTATCAACAAGCTTGAAGAGAATCACCAATATACTGATCAATGCAGACAAAGTGATGATACCAAGAAAATATCAAAGATGTATGCAATATTTGACAGATCTATAAATGCCTAAATGATTTCTTATTTTGTCTGATCTGGAGGAGGGACTGGGGCCAGTCAGTTTTTATGGAGATATACTATTTTATGTTTATACCAAGAAAAACTACAAACTACCAAGGTGGAAAAGTGGGCATGATGTTATAATATGTTGTTATATTCATTTTGATAAAGTCTATCATATCAATAATTCCAATGTTTTACTAAAGATATAGATAATATGTGATCTGAAATGGATTTATAATAAACTAAAATAACTTAATGTGAACTGGGAGAATAACACATAGATTAGATGTTAACACTTTGACAGTTATTGTACCTTATAGATATGACTGAATTAAAAAAAAAAAAAACAGTACATTTTATTATGTCAAAGAAAACATTTACTTGTGCTTTCATGGTGAACAGTGTGAATGTTGTCAACTGGTAATTAGATGTGTTCATCATGTTCATGTTCATGTTCATTTTCCTGTAACTTGATAACCTTTATTACTTGCATGGTGTATCCCTATGCTGCCCCCACCTCCCCCTCTACTATCCAAAATCAGAAGTGAATTAATGAGACAAAACTGACTGATTTTCTATCCCTGTATCATAAATTTTACAGCAAAATTGTCTGCTATTTTGTTTTTGTTTTTTAATTAAGGAAAAAAAACAAAATCCATTGACACACATCAGCATTTTATATTCTGTCATCATCTTCACACCGAGTCTAAAGGAATAAGAGATGAATGTAAATGATTGTTAGTTTGAAAGCCAATATATCGCATAGCTATCAATCATAAAAGGCCACTTCAAAGCTTGATATCAAATACAGTTTAGTAGACAGGTTCCCCCAATAAACCTTTAGAAAAAGATTCTACATTTGGAACTTATGTTGTGTTTCATTTCATTGGGTAACTATAACTTTATGGAAAGCATGGCAACATTGTGACATTGATGTCTACTCACTGAGAATAAAAAAGATCAAAAGTGGAATTTGACATCATTTGAAAATATAATAATATTTATTTGCAACTAAAAAGTTGGATGGAACATATGTAATTATACTAATATGGTAATTCTAAGAAAAACATACCAGACATTTAAACATTTTTCTTAATTAGATTTTAAAAGACATTTTCAAGAACTGCATTTTAATTGAATTTGGATGCATTTGGTAAAATCAAGATACTGTTTCAAGATGCATAGGCATACATAAATTATTGATAATTTTTAAAAAAATCCGATTGACATCATTTGAAAGCAGCTGTTTTCTTATGGAGGTGGAGAGGAGTATATCAATAATTGAACCCCCATCAAAGAAAGCTAGAACAAACCCAGAGAGTGGTAAAAACCTGTCATTGTTGGCTATAAATATTTTATTTTAAGTTTTTATATCTGGATTATGCACATTACAGCTAAAACAGGGCAGTAAGATAAGCTGAAAATATGAAATTGAATTCTTGTTTAGGCTCTATTTGATGACAACAAGAGTTAAATTCTTTTTATATTAACCAGCCAAATCTCGCACAGAAATTTAAATGTAAAATATCATTATGATGGTTTTTATCTACTCAGCTGTATATGCAGATGAAACCACAACATAAGCTGATATCATTATGGCTCTATGACAACCCCTGGAAATCAGTTGTCAAGGATATGTTTGGATTCCTTTCATCCAAGTTAACTTGGAATCGTCATTAAACAATTCCCTCTGCTTTTGCTTTGCTAGATGGATATCCTGAAACGTTTATTTTAATTCTGTCAAAATATTTGGATACATCCTGCTCCTTGCATGAACAAAACGTCTCTAAAATGATGCCCTATAATTATTTTCCTTATTTACAGCATTCCATGACAGTGTTAAGAATATATGTCGTATTTAACAATTTGCACAATTTTCAGCCAGTATTTTTTTAATTAGAATGCATCTGAAAACATAGGATGTTGCACAGGTCATCTTTCCTACTTTTCCCGCACTTCTCAGGTTAACTGCTGCTTTACTTAATGTTTTTACCAACTTATTAATTACATAAGACCAGGTAGTGTGTGATTTAATTGAATACAAACAAAACCGAAAAAAAGCCCACTTGCATTCTGACGAATTGACCCACACTGATTTTCACGTCTGACATGAAACTGGAAGATCCAAAGTCGTAAATGTTGTAAGTAACCAATTTTTTCGAAAAAAGAACAAGTTTGGGTCTACAAAAACTAGATGAAAAAAGAAATCATCAGAGAAATGAAATGAACACAATGTACTTATTGGAGTAATGGGAGTGTTTTGGGGGTTTTCTTTTCCTTTTATTTATTTATTTATTTATTTTGACTTTCTTATTGGGCTTCCATAAGCTCTGAAAATATTTCCAGAGATATTCTGAATCATCTTACTCCTTGTGGTCTATGAACTTTGGATCTTTTTAGAAAGATATTTGGTGAATCACCCCTCTCAAATGATTTACATTTTGTTACGATTTTTATAAGATTCTTTACGTCACAAATGACACTTTATTTGCGATGGACTTTAATGCACTCAGAGCGTAGGTGGAGCTCCACCTGTTCCAGCTGACCCCATGGCAGTGGTTGACCCATGATTATTTGAAGGGGTTATCTGTGGATGCAAAGTCGACCCCCCCCCCCCCCCACACACACACACACATGGCATAGGGTTAAGGACCCATGTAAAGGTCCCAAAATTTTTAATATTTTAGAGGGCGAACGGTGCCATTTGGTACGGTTTAGAACTATAATTCAGCTTATCAAAATTCTTATTTCAAGAGGGGACCAGAAATAGAGGGGGGAGGGCAGGACCCCCCTGACCCCCCCTAAATTGACCATGTGACAACGTTCGTTTAGGTACCACTGTGGAATTCTAGGACAGTTTTACAATATAGAAAGTATTTATGTCAAGGGGTAGTGGTGAAAACTGACAGTTCATTAAGGGGATACTTGGAGAAGTGACGTTATTTGTTTACCCCACTTCTACCTTGGAAAGATTGTTGATGAAAGGCAGGCAACGTCATTAAGGGGGGAGGGGAGTAAAACAATAAAAAGTGTCAGTTAGTTAATCAGAGAATCACATTTTGATATAAGACAGAATATAATTATCACATTTTGTATTCTCAGTATGACATTCATAACAGGAGGGGGGTTGTCAGGGGGAATTGTCCTGATACCGGTTGATACATTGTTAATATTATTTTTCACCTTCATGTCCATTTATCTTATCTAAATTTCAAAAGTTGCATCTCACTCTTTTAAGACTATTTTATTTCAGTTTTAAATAAAGATAAAACCAAACAAAAATCTTTCAGTAATAATGTGCTCATCTACCGTTTCATATTTGCTGTGTGAACTTCTTTTGATAAAAGGAGGAAAAAAATATTATTACTGTTTTGTTTCAGACCTAAAGATACAGTACCTCAATTCTCGCCTTTGCACATGAACAACTGCAGTATACAATTCCGTTAAAATAATGTACATGTGAACAGAGTTACTGAGAAAAGCAGGTGCAAACCACCTAACCTAAATTTTTACATGAGGAAAAAAAGTCAGGTAGTATGTGATTTAATTATGCGTCGTTAGTCCATCGCAGACGATGAAGCCATTGTTCATCAGATCCAGAATCTTTTATGAGTCTTCAATCTTCGCCCGGTCTGCAGATTTTGACACGAGAATCGCATGTGAAGCAGCATTAATTATAACTGATTGCAAACACCTATATTATTATTTGGCCCTTTGTCAATATCTGCGTTTTTCCCAACCAAGGTTCCAGATGGAATTGCTTTTTACTAAGGCACGAGAGGGGGAATACAACGGCAGAAGAATTTCTTTGATGAAATACATAGCAGGACATATCAGGTGAAATGAGTGAACAGAGATTTAGGGTGTATCAAGTATTAGGTCATAAAAACATTTTAGACATAATTTGTATATGCTACGCCTTTCTCAAAACCAGCATCTTTTTGCAAAATCATCACGTCATTTTCAGTCTTTCTAACATCAATCCGTTCATTCCCTTTCTTCCAGTTGCCTACCGTTTCTCTTCTGCCTCATCCATCACCCAGTAGATAAATTCACAATCAAAGAAAGAGAGCAAACACTTCTAGTGGGTTCAGATATTTGGGTAAATCCCTCTTATACCAACCGGTAGCAGAGCTGTGTACATGTAACTGGCTCTCAGTATACCCTTTTTGCANCTTAACCTAAATTTTTACATGAGGAAAAAAGCCAGGTAGTATGTGATTTAATTATGCGTCGTTAGTCCATCGCAGACGATGAAGACGCAGAAGATGAAGATGTTCATCAGATCCAGAATCTTTTATGAGTCTTCAATCTTCGCCCGGTCTGCAGATTTTGACACGAGAATCGCATTTGAAGCAGCATTAATTATAACTGATTGCAAACACCTATATTATTATTTGGCCCCTTGTCAATATCTGCGTTTTTCCCAACCAAAGTTCCAGATGGAATTGTTTTTTACTAAGGCACGAGAGGGGAAATACAACGGCAGAAGATTTTCTTTGATGAAATACATAGCAGGACATATCAGGTGGTGAAATGAGTGAACAGAGATTTAGGGTGTATCAAGTATTAGGTCATAAAAACATTTTAGACATAATTTGTATATGCTACGCCTTTCTCAAAACCAGCATCTTTTTGCAAAATCATCGCATCATTTTCAGTCTTTCTAACATCAATCCTTTCTTCCAGTTGCCTACCGTTTCTCTTCTGCCTCATCCATCACCCAGTAGATAAATTCACAATCAAAGAAAGAGAGCAAACACTTCTAGCGGGTTCAGATACTTGGGTAAATCCCTCTTATACCAACCGGTAGCAGAGCCGGGTACATATAACTGGCTCTCAGTATACCCTTTTTGCACACCAGGGCCTTCCGAGATACCCCCCCCCCCTCATTGACAAAACATCGCCTTACAGTTGCGTGTAGCTTGCAAAATTTATCTTCAGTAGCGCAATTAATTTTTTTTTAAAGTTATCTTATGCAATCGAGTATGAATGCAACCACATCGCAGT